TGTGGCACTTTGGCCTCCATCAACCACGGAGCTAGGTACTATGGATGCCCAATAAAGAAGGTGTGGTTAGAATTAGGGCCTATGCAATGTGACTTTGTGATGGCCTTATCAGGGGTAAGCAAAGGTCAGTTGCCTATTGTCCCCACTCTGGCTAATAACTAGTTGAATAACCCCTCCTGTCTTCTCTACCCCAGCCCAGCTCCCTGGTCCTGCAGCATGGCCCCAGAAAGTTGAACTTTTGTGAATGGCTCAATGGAGTGTTTCAGCTCAGTTCCTCAGATGTGTTAGTTTCTTCATTAGCTCTGGGAAAGGATAACTTCCCCCATGGGCTATCTGGCTAATGTCTGTTAGGTTTCCCCATCTCAGTAAAGGCTTGGGATGTCTATTTCGTTTTCATCAGCTGCCTGTATTGAGCTGGAAGTCAGGCTTAGAGGCATACAAGTTTTGTTGGCTAGATTAGAGCAGTAGGTCGAAGTCTAGCCTCCTCTTTGGGCCTCCTAACCAATTTCTGAGTTCTGAAGTTTTTTTCTGCTGGGAAGATCAGATGAGATATTTGTAAAGCACTTAGCACAGTGCCTAGCACATAGTAAGTACTATGTAAATGCTTATTCCCTCCCCTTCCCCCTTTTCCTTCTCCCTTTTCTATATTCAAGGATTGCTTTACGTTTCTGTCTGAGAAGCCTTAGGGTTTTTGTCTGAGTCCGGTTGGAACAGTAGGAGCCATGCCTTGGCATGTTCCTTCATCTTCTCTTTTTCTTTCCATCCTCAACTTAATACTGCTTAAGTTGAGTTGTTAGGGTCGAGAACCCAACGCAGGCACAGGATGGATATGGGTAGGCTATTCTGTAAGTACCTTTTCTCACTGAGGTTTGATCTGGAGGAAGAAGACACAGCCTGAAGAGCCTGCCTTTGCTCTGGCTGGTGAATTAAGGAGAGGCTGGGATTTCAAGCTAGCACTTGAAACTAGCTTCCCAGCGGTGGAACTTGGGTCTGTGCTGGTCCCCAGTCCCCTAGGTTTTCTTGAAGAGCCCTTGTTCTGGAACTGGGTTGCTTCCTGTTCTAAGGGATGTAGGTTCCCTTTGGAGCTAAATGATGAAAGAATCTGTTACTGAAGAGATCAGTATTCTTTGTAGAACTTTTGCAGGCTGAAAAAGAGAACCTTCCCAATGTAGTCCTCGGAGTCTTTTTTGGCCAGGAAGCAGAAAGGACCTAAATATTTTTTTAGCCTCTGTAACCCTCAAGTATGACCCCTCGCCCCCCAGAGTCAGGGCTTGGGGCTGTGGTTATTGAGAAACTTCTCTTTGTCCTGTCTACCCTGCAGGGTGAGTATACTGAAAGTGAATGGATGGGATGGCTGGGCCAAGCTGGAGGCAAGATAAGAAAACTAAGGTTAGGCATTAAGAAAAGCTAAATTGGACACATTGACTGAAAATGGTGGGCTGGCCTACCTGCCTGTCTAGGTCAGGCCTATATTTGAATAGGATAAGAGACTGGACCTGTATTGAAAACTCAGGTAAGGAAATTCCTTCTTCAAACGCAGGTCATTATCTTCTTTGTAGTTTAGGGGAATCCCCAGGTTTTCTCAGGTTCCACTGGGAAAATAAGGAGAACAGTAAGGGATGTTCAGTGAGGAGAACAATGAGGGATGCTTACTGGGCAGGTGTACAGTGCTCTAACCCAGGAGGGAAGAGATGTGACTTCTTAGCTACTGATGTCAGGTCCCTGGGTCCCATTTGTGTCGAAGCATTATGTTAGCTGATGATCAGGTAGCAGATGCTGGCAAAAGTAGTAACTTGTATTCCTCACTACAGTCCTTCTCATTCACTATGTTCCAGTGACATATTAAGGGGAAGTTTGGATGGTAGCCAAGGCCTCTCCCCACTCTGAGTGACCAGGGGCCATGAGACCCTAGAAGGCAGATGCCAAGTTTGCAAGACCTTCTGCTTGAGGCCTGGCAGTTACCTACCTTACTAATTCTCTATTTCTCCATCTGCAAAATGGGATTACTGATTCCTCTTCACCCTAACATCAGAGCCACCAAGATGACCCTTTGGAGAAGAAAGTTGGAATGACAGGGTGTGGTAATGGTGATAAAATAACATTTGGCAAAGGATATGAGCAAACAATTCTTAAAAGAAAAATTGCAAGCTATTCCCAATCACATGAAAGAATGCTCCAAATCACTAATAATAAGAGAAATGCAAATCAAAACAACCCTGAGGTTTCACCTCACACTCTGCAAATTAAAAAGATGACAGAAAATGGCAATAATGTTGGAGGCTGAGGTTGTGCAATGATAGGCACACTAATTGTTGGTAGAGTTGTGAAGTGGTACAACCATTTTGAAAAGCAGTTTGGGCTATGCAAATAAAGTAACTAAAATGTTCATATTCTTTGAACCAGAGTCTCTAATACAAGACTTATACCCTAAGGAAGCCATTGATAAGAAGAAAGTCCCCATATACACCAAAATATTTGAAACAGCACTTTTTTTTATGATAGCAAAGAATTGGAAACAAAGTAGATGCTCATCAACTGGAGAATGACTAAACAAATTGTGGAACATGAATGTAATGGAATATTACTATGCTATATGAAATGATGAATATGATGAATACAGAGAAGCATGGAAAGATCTATGTGAACTGATGCAAAGTGTAGGTAGAACCAAGAAAACCATATACCCACTGACTACAACAATGTAAATGGAAGAAATAACCGCTCTCAAAATAAAGCAAAAGTGAATGTAGCAAAATTATAAAGATCAAGCATGATTCAAATGAAGAAATATGAGAGGATACTTCCAAACTACTCTTTGTGGACATGGGAGATTCACAGGGGTTGCACATTGCATATGTTTTTTCTTTTTTTAACTTTTTCAATGCATTGATTGGTTGTGCTGTTTTTTTTTTCTTTCTCTTTTTTCTTTGTTTTTAATAAATAATTTTGTTGTATGGTATGGCTGTCAGGTGAGAAGGATACTCAGGAAAATGATGACGTTAAAAACCAAAGTACATCAATAAAAAATTATAAAATAAAATAAAGAAGTCTCATTTGGACAAGTATAAAAATAACTGTAACAAGAAAATGGAAAGGCCTCCTTCCCTCTCTCACTGTGGTAAGATTATGAGTGAATAAAGGCTTTAAGAATTGTCTGTCTCTTCCTGTGGGCAAATATACAGATTGATACACTGTTGGAGGAGCTGTGAATTGGACGTGCTGTTCTAGAAAGTAATTTGGAAATATGTACAAAAATTTAATAAACTTGACCGCCAGGCCTAAGATCAAAGAAAGGAAAAGGACTCATATGTACAAAAGTTTAGCAGCTTTTTTTGTGGTAGCAAAGATCAGGAAACTTAAGGAAGTGCCTATCACTTGTGTATGTTTGTGGGGGGAAACGGTTGAACCAGTTGTGTTGTAAGAATGTAATAGAATACTATTTTCCTTTAAGAAATGATGAAGGGAATTGTTTTAGAGAAACCTGAGAAGACTTGTATGAACTGATACATAGTGAAGTGAGGAGAACTAGGAGAGCAATTTATATGATGACAGTGATGTAAAGACAAATGACTTTGAAAGACTTTAAAACTCTAAGCGATTCACAATGGCCAACCATGATTCCAGAGGACTGATGATAAAGCATGCTACCCATCTCCTGACAGAGAGGTGATGGATTCAGGATATAGGATAAGATTTATAATTTTTAGACAGGGAAGATGGACAATGTGGGAATTTGTTTTGCTCAACTATGATTATTTGTTGTGAGGGTTGGGGTGTTGTTTGCTTTTTTCAACGGGGAGGAGGTGGGAGGGAGAGAAAATAAAATTAATTGGGGAAAAAAAAACTGTTCCCTCTTAATCTCATCATGATGCTTCCTTAACTTTTTGTTGATGTTATGTGTATGTATTTCGGGAGACAGGTTTGTGAAGAGATGGTAATTTTTCACAAAGGCCAGTATTAACTTTCCTATTTTCTGTTCAGAAAACCAAAAGGTGAAAACCAGGCTTCCTCTCTCCTAGGGAAATTGTAGTGCCAAATGAGCTTTCAGAACATTTGGGGTTCTCCCTACAGGGAAATAGGGACCTGGAGTCAACTGTCAGTACCTCCCTCACCCTTAGGTGAAAAACCAAACTGTTTTGGGTCCTTGCAGGACTCAAGGCAACCCCATACAATATAAAAGGTTACTTTTACATTGTACTCTGATTACCCACTTTGGACTCTGGTTTTTCCTTTGTTCTTGGGCCTCTCAAATAATGTAGGTGGTCAGTTTGTTCTGTCTTCATTTGTATAGAACTTACTTAGGGCATTGTTGTGTTTCCATTTTAGTTCCTTTCTACAGCCTGAACTCACTGAAGTGCAAGTTGAGAAGTTGTGTTGAGATGAGTGGCCTGTACCTTCCACCATTATGTCCAGTGCTTGACAGCAGCCCCTATACACAGTGAGGGCTCAGATGCTGAGAGTGACCTGACTGATTCTTCAAACCTTGCCACCCTCTCCCATGATACTTTTTAAAAATTTTATTTATTTAATTATTTAGTTTTAGTTTTCAACATTCACTTTTATAAGATTTTGAGTTCAAAATTTTTCCCCCCTCCTCAAGATGGCATGCATTTAGGGTTCTGATATAGGCTACACATATACAATCATATTAATCATATTTCCACGAGTCATGTTGTGAAAGAATCAGAACAAAATGGAAAAACCATGAGGAAGAAAAAAAAAGAAAATATTATGTTTCGATCTGCATTTGAACTCCATAGTTCTTTCTTTGCATTCAAACTCCATAGTTCTTTCTCTAGATGTGAACAGCATTTTCCATCCTGTGATACTTTCACGAGTTTGAGAGGACTCATTCTGGACTAGGGTATAGGACTTTTACTTAGGTCTCAGTTCCCTGTTTTTACTACATATGTTGCTGACTTTTCACTAAAATGTCTTGTTTCCTATTCCTCCCTTTCCTTCTCCTCCTCCTACTCCCCCACCGGCCCCCAAACCACCAGGTGCCACCGGTTGCAGGAATCTTTGTTCAGCTCAGCTAGTGGATTCAGCAACTACCGAGGTATCCTGAACTGGTGTGTGGTGATGCTGGTAAGTGGCCCATGGCCTAGACTCTGATTGTCCCTGCCAAGTTACATGATAGCAATGGTTGAATAAATTTGTTCTTGAAATCTTTAATGTCTTGCCCTTCCTTCCAGCTGCTTAGTCCACATATGAGCATTCCATCTTTGCCTCTTTGCTCTGTTCTCCTTCCCCAGCTACATAGTGGGATAAGGAAGGATAGTGAACTTGTCTGAGCTCTTGTGTCTATCCAGGTGGACTTTGTGGTCAGCAGGTAGAGGTTTGGGTCCTATACCTTTTTAGGCCAGGCTTGGGGTCATATAGTCATTAGGAAAGTGGGATGTAGAAAGTGATGCTGAGCTCCATCTACTTTCAGAGCTTTGGTGGGAGAAAGAGGGATGAAGAAATAGCCCCCATCCTCAAGGAGTTCCCATCTGATGGAGTGTAAATAAAATACAAATAGGACATAAGATAGACCAAAAAGAGAATTTGTCAGCTGTGACCTAAGCTATGTATAGAAGTGCTGAGGTTCACTAGAAGAATTGGAGAAGTTAATCTAAGACTTTGTTGGAAGAGATATATTGAGGCTAGAAGGAGGACAGAGATGGCTTTCTCATCTTGGCCTGTGTCACTTCCTTTCTACTGGAGCCTGCTATTCTGAATGTCCACTTTCACACTTCTCTGGCTTGGGTGACCACAGGTCTGTTTATTAGAATGTGCTCATGATAGACAGCAGTCTCACTTTTGGGGCTGAGTGCTTGGTGGGACACCTCCCTTTCTGTTTGTGGAGGGGAAGCTGTGGGCTAGGGGATGGCTTTGGGAGGCGCTGGATAGGAGAGCTCACTGACTACATGCATACCTATAAATAGCTTGCTGCAGCCCCAGAAAAACTGTCCCTGTTGGCAGGGGCCCAACCTGGAGCTCTCTCCTGGCCATCCTGATGATGAAGCCAAATAAAGCTGGTCCCAGCCTTCCCCTTGCCTCAGTCTGAGATAGAATAGGAAGGAGCTTTCCCATTCTTGTCCTGCCCTAGGTAGTGCAGGTTAACCCGAAGGCAGCTGATGATGTTTTCAAAGCCTAACACAGTGAGCCAATGATGGGTGCTCAGGGAATGGAAGGCTGATGCTGAGCTTGGGTTGAGAGAAGACTCAGCCAAGGTTCTCTGAGTATCCTGGCAAGAGTTACGTCTCCACCTCTTTTTTCAAAGGAGTTTGGGACTTCTGGACTGGCCCTTGGCAGGCCTCCTAGTAGGCTGAGAAGGGGCTATTTTTGCCTGACTCTGAGTGGCACTGGGTAAAAGAAATAGCATTCAAGGTAGGTTAGGATAAAGTAGCTGAGCCTCTAAGGAGTGTCTCACTTGAATTGTGTATTTCTCTTTCACACCTCCCCTTGTATCTTCTATTCTCCGTAGTCCTCATCAGTGGGATTGCTTTGACTGCTTAGGCAGTAAGTATACAGGGCATCCAACCCTTTACCTCCTACCCTTTGGGGGCAGTGGGGGCCTAGAATCAGGAAGACTTGGCTTCGGGGCCTGTTGGCAGGAAGGTGGTTGCAGCCTGTGAACTGGGATCTGGCTATCCTAGTCCTAGTTGTCATTTTAAAAAAAACCAAAAAACTTTTATTAAATGTTTGATTATAGGTGACTCATGCCCTGAAGTCCTGTGTGGAGATGGGGACAGAGCAACCAGTTAATGAATTACTGCTTTGCAGGTTAGAGGTCATGCTGCTCCCCAGGTCTGGGCTATTCCTTGGGCAGGGATGGGAGGGATGGGTGGGGCATATTAATCAGGATGAGGTGCTCAGGGGCATAGGCTGGACCTGACTGTAGGCTCTCTCACTTAGGCTCATCTATACTTTCATCAACGCTTGCACCAATTTATCAACCTTGAATGTCAGCAACTTCTCTTCCCAGATCCAAAGTCTCAGAGAGACTCATTTTTTATCTGCTGATGAATTGGAAGCTGACTTTTCCTGCTCTGGCACAGGGCAAAAGAAGGGACGATGGTCCTTCTACTCCATTGTGCTTAGGTTTTTGAGGAGCCCTGGTTTCCTCCAAGTACATCTTGGGCCATGATGAAAGGTTGCAAAGCCACCAGTTTATCATGTACACAGAGATGTGAAAGGAAGACCCAGGGTTTTCTCCTAACTGTCTGGAATTGGTGTGGGGAAGTGGAGTGACACTTCAGAAGGGGGAATACTCAGGGCATCATTTGCCTTTTGATTTTCTTTATTCCACATTACTGACAACAACCTGGTGGTGATCCTTTTTTGATGAAAAGCCCCTTCCTTTTTTTGTGCCTATAGTGCTTGATTTTGTACAGGTGTAAGATGAAATTCTGGAAAATGTCTCTCAGGGGGACTTTGAGTACTGAGTCATCTAAAGCTCATTGAGGAAAAGGGAGAGCTGGGAACCTGGGGTAGGAAAGATGTGGGTGTTCTTAGCTCCTGTAAGACAATTAAAAATTAGAGTAAGATAATGGGAAATTCCAGAGGAGCTTGAACCGGGAAAGAAAGCATCATTACATTCGAAGCTGGCAGTTGCAGGTATTCCTGAGGCGGCTCCAAGAAACGTGGCCCCACCTGGCCCCACCTGCCCCACCTGGTCCCACCTGGCCCCACCTGACGTAGTAGCTGAATTTCACCTAGATACTGTGCAACCTAGCAGGTGTCTAGTGGCTATGCCCCAGGCATATGGCTCAGGACTCAGAAAAGAGTCAGTGGTAAAATAGTGCAAATTCAGGCCTGTGTGATCTTGGGCAAATCATTTCATTTTTCTACCACTGTTTCCTCATCTGTCAAATAAGCACATTGGATTGGATTAGTGCCTCTGAACCTTTTCAGTTATGAATATCCCATTTTAATGTCAAATTTCAGAGACCTCCAATCATGGTAGTTGTTGACTGGCCATGGACCCTTTGCAGTAAATGCAAGTAAAAGGACCTTCTAGTTGACCACCTCATGATTCCTAAGTGCTTTTCTAGTCCTTATAGCCTAAAATTTGAGATTCCTCCAAAATATTCCAGTGGAGATGTCCAGCAAACAGTTGATGAGGGACTAAAGTTGAAGAAAGAAATTAGGGCTCAATATATAAATTTGGGAGTTATTTGTATAGGGATAATAACAGAGAATAGGGAGAGAGAGAAAAGAGGAGGAGGGAGAGAGAAAGAAAGAAAGGAGAGGGAGGAAGGTAGAAGGGAGAGAGAGAGAGGAGAGAAGGTGTATTAGACGTATGATCTTGAAGCATAGGAGATTCTATGATTGTTCAAAATAGTCATACTACTGGGATTGAACATAAAAGCCCAATTAAGCATTTGTTAAACATTCCTTTAAGCGTTACAGAGTTTGCTTTAGTTCCCAGTCTCAAAAAATTTGATTTTTAGTATGAAGAAAAGACAAATGAAATTCAGTGGAGTGTGATAAGCAAAGGCAAGTAGTCCAAAGTACTGTAGTGTGGGTTGGGCCATGCAGGAGGAGAGTACTTCTAGTGATATTTAATCTCATGTTTGTAAACTCCTTGAGGTCAGCACCTATGTTATTGATAAGAGCTGAAATTTATATAGTACTTTAAGTGATTTATACGTTGCCTAATTTGAGCCAGTTAAAGACCCTTAGGGTACTGAAAGTAGTTTTCCTGTTTTACAGATGAAGAAATTGGGGCTCAGACAAGTAAAATAACTTGTCCCACAGTCACATAGCTAATCAGTGTCAAAGGCAGGATTCAATCCAGGTCTTTCTTACTCTGAATTTCTCAGAATTTCTTGTTTCACTATATCATACTACTCAAGGTGTGCATTGTAGATACTTAGTAAGAGTTCATTGAATTGAATTTAGGCTAGGAGATCAGGAAAGACTTCATAGGAAGAGGTATTTGAATTGGACTTTTAAAAGTTTCATCATTACTCATGTTTATGATGTTTCCAAAACCTATCACTTAGAGATTGACAGGTCAGTACTTCAGGGGAACAGATCTAGGTTGGAAAGGTGAGTTAAGCAACTGAGTGTGAACTCTGTAAGGAGAAGACTTAGTTGGCTGTACTGAAAGTGAAGAAATGACTGTATCCAGACTGTTCCTTTGGTGGTCAGGCCTAGGCCTCCCAGAGATAGTGTGAAAGAGCCCACCCAGAAGTTGGGAAGCCAAATAGAGCCCAGAATTTTTTCCCCTCACAAATGGGCAGGCAGATAGGGCTTCTCGATCCAGTCTGTCAGGCAACTGTCAACCAGCTGTTCTCCCTTTTCATCACAGTGGCCTGCCGCCATTTCTGGGAGCATAGCCATGTGCCTCCTGCCTTTAGAGGTCTCTGACCTCTTGATGGTCTGGAGCTCTAAGGGTTTTCCCTTGCTCCTTGCGTTGTCAGACAATGGGCCTCTCATTAGCAGATATAGCCCTGACTGGATGAGAATTGAACAGTAAATTCAATTCAACAAACCTTTATGAAGCTTCTGTGTACAGTGCACACTACAAGGTGCTGGGGATATAAGCGTAAAAACAAAAGCCTTTGCTCTCCAGGACCTTATGTTCTATTCTAAGAGAAGTGTGGCATGTACAAATAAGGATTAGGCCAGGTAGGGAGGGATGAAGAAATCTAGCAGTGCCTCAGGAACATTTGAGGAGAGAAATGAAGTAGGAGTTGATTGAGGGTAGGCAGGGTGAAGCTAGGGAAATAAAAAATGGCTATAAGAAAGAGGTGGCATTCAGGCTGCACTCTGAAGGAAGATAAAAGATTGTCAAGAAACAGTCACTTCCGAGGAAGAGCTTGTTCTCTGGCCTCTGGGATCTGCCTCGTGTGTTTAGAGGCCATATCTTTCCTTCAAGGTCTGTGCTAGGAAGAGGAGCAGGGTTAGCCTGGCAGAGCCCTGCTTAGGAGAGGGAATAGACCTGGGCCAGGGCCCTTTTTTCCCTAAGGATCCTTGGCACTCACTGAGGCCTGGCCCAGTGGCAGGCACAAATGTTAGACATTAATGTTGGGGAGGCAAGAATCATAGGAAAATCAGCCAGTCAGCCACCAAATATTTATTGAGAGTTTATTGTCTCAGGGCCCTTTTTGGAGTACAGCTGGGGAGAGAGAATAATACAAGAGAGTGGACGGTTAAGGCTCAGTGGTATGAGGGTAACTCTGAGGACTAAGGACGATAGAGAAAGAGTGCTCTGGGAGCTAGGGTGGTTTGGAGAGGCCTAACAGATACTGGGGGTGGGGAAAGCAGTGGTGCTGGACATCTGAGGTGGTCTTTGGAAATTGGTGAAAGAGGCTATTTTGGGTGTAATGATAGTAAAGAGATCTGCTGAGTTGGGATAGAAAAATGGTGTGTGTGTGTGTGTGTGTGTGTGTGTGTGTGTGTGTGTGTGTGTGTTGAGGAACAGTGAGTGATAAGAACTACTATGTAGTGCATCAGTTCACAGAAAGCCTTAAAAGGTGTTTCCTAAGATTTGTAGTTGGAAGGGACCTTAGAGATCTTTTAGTCCAATCTGGGAAGAGGTATCGGAAGCTCAGGAGGGGGAAGTAACTTGTCCAAGGCTACTCAGACAATGAGGAGCAGAGCCAGAAGCCCAGGTCTTTCTCAGACTCTAGGTTCTCAGCTCTTTCTCCTATAGCAGGTGGCCTCAGATGCTTGATGAGCGTCTGCTGAAGGCTCTTTTGTTTAGCTCAGATGCTACAGCAGGCAGACAGGAGCAATGGAAGTTTCCTAAGCTGGGGTTGGGATATGATAGAAATGGCACTTTTGGAAGAAGGCAGGCTGTTTTTTAGAAGAAAGGAAGGCAGCAGAGGCAGTTTGGGCTTGGAAGTAAAAAAGGCCTGTGACCCCAAAGCGTCCTCTGCCTTACTGTGCAGCCCGGTCAGGCTTCTCTTCACTCAACTCCATTATTAGCTCTCAGCTTCAAACTACCTTCTCTGCCATTTATTCCCTTCTTGTGTTTTCCTCTGTCTTCTCCTTCCTGCCCTCTATCTCTTTTTCCTTGTTCACATTCAAATCTTTATGCCATTCACTCTGTTCCTTCTCCATCACCCAGCATTCTGTAAACCTTACAGCTGCATTCACTTCACCAGTGATTTTATCGAATACCTGTGGATTGACCACCCCTTTCAGTTCCCCTACCCTCCAGTAAGCCTGGAGTTTCAGAATAACCCACAGTTCTTTAGGGTTCCCCAGTGAGTCTCAAAATGGGCCAGAGAGCACAGACTCAGAGTGACTCAGATGGCCATTTGGCCTGGTCCAACTACCTGACCAAAGCGACTTGGCAGGCATGGGTTACAATAGCAGGATCATCAGGCTGGCAGTGGCCCATCCCACTTTAGCCTCGCAATCCAGATGGCAGTTCACTATTCCACCCTTTGCCAAAGCCCCAGGGAAGGCAAGAAGTAGCAAGGCCCTACACTTACAAAGGTCAAGATACACTCTGGCCAAGCCTGCGGGGTTAGCAGAATTTGGACTCTAGAGGCAGCAGGAAAAGGAGATTGTTAGTTAGACTTAGCTGTGGGTGGTGCCTTCTCCGTTCCCTGGGCTTGCGAGAGGGACAGCATCCAAACCAGGACCCCAAGCAGGCAGAAGCAGCAGCTGCAAACTATGTTGTCAAAGCCCATAGGGAGAGATGGAGAAGAGAATTTCTTGTGGTCTTTCCTGAAGCTTGGGTTTGAGAATCTGTGACTCTAGGGCTCCCTAAGGGCAGGGGCTGACTTTTCATTTTCTAGACCATTGCTCCCAGGTGGCTGCACAGTCTGCCTCCTGTGACCCTCCCTAAGGCTAGGGTTACAGGCAGTTACTTACCATGCCTTCTTTTCTCTCAGAAGGTCTCAGACACACCAGTCTCTCTATTTGGTGGGGAAGATGGCTTCTACCTGCCTTGGATTTGTGGGGAGAAGAGGGAGAGAATGGCCTGAGCCTCTGAACTAGATTCAGTCTATGGATTGGAATCTCAGCCTGGATGATAATGATAGCTGTCATTTATGATAGAGCCTACTGTGTGCCAGGCACTGTGCTAAGCTCTAGAGAAGTATTATCTTAATTAGATCCTCATGACCCAGGGGGGGAGGGGGAAGATGGTATTATTATCCCCATTTTACAGTTTAGGAAACTGAAGTAAACAGAGGTTAAATGACTTGCCCAAGATCCCATGGTTAGTGTCTGAGGCTGGATTTGAACTCATATTTTCCTAACTCTAGGCCCAGCGCATTATCCAGTGTGCCACCTAGCTGCTTCTATCAGGCCAGGCTTCTCTGGGGGTCCAGTTTCTCTCCCCTGGGCTTGGTGGGTAGTTAAGTGGGTGGCTAGAGGAGGAAAGTTAACCTGGCAGGGCATTGCAATGCCTTGGGCTAAGGAAGTATGTGTCTATTCACCCCCTTTCCTCATTTCTTGCAGATCTTGAGCAATGCTAGATTATTTTTGGAAAACATCATCAAGTGAGTGCTCTTTACTGTGGCCTTCCCTGTACCCCTAACTGGAGAGTGGTAAAGGGGCATCCAAACTCTTACTCCCTCTTCCCTCATTCCTTCGGCTTTCCCTCCTCCCTGTATTAGGACCCTTAACCCAACCTGCTTAGCCTAGACTTGCTGGATACATGAGGCTGGAATGCCAACGCCCCCTTGTGGCAACAAGGCTTTATTGCAGCTCAGGTTTCAGCTTCTTGGTGCTAAAGTCCAGAGGCCCCCACCCCAGTGCCCTAGCCCCCAATGCCCTAGGTTCCTACCCTCAGGTACGGCATTCTAGTGGACCCAATCCAGGTGGTGTCGTTGTTCCTGAAGGATCCCTACAGCTGGCCCTCCTTGTGCCTCATTATAGGTGAGCTTGAGTTGGGTGATATGATATATGGAGTGGGGAGGAAGGGCAATCTTGGTATAGGACCCTGAAGCCACTTCAGGGAGCCCAAGCCAGGCCTCTAGGAAAGATTGGAATAGACATCCTAATAGGCTCAGTCACTCCCTTCCAGGGGCATTCGTTATGAAGCTTCAGTAATTTCCACGGCTATTCCTTTTCTCTTTTCAGTAGCCAATGGGTTTGCATTAGCTGCCTTCCAAGTGGAGAAGCGTCTGGCTGTGGTGAGTCTCTCTCCTCATTCCTGTTGTACATACATACCCCAGTCTGTTGTGTCTGGGGATGGGGTGGGGTATGCTATTTTTCTCCCCAAAACATATCCATATTCGTTTCTGTTATGTCTTTTTCCTTTTCAGAGGCTCCTTACTTTCAATCAGAGCATACCTGTTATTGGACCCTTGTTACCAAAAGTTCTAGTCTTGTTCTTGTCTACTCAGTCCCTTCTATCTACCCTCTTTCTGCTTAGCTCACCAGATCAGGAACCTCCACCTTGGGTTTTTCTCCCCATTGTTATGTAATCTTGGATGGCTGTTTCTGTCATTTATCAAACTACCCTTGCCCCTGACATTCTCTTAGCATTTACTGCTTACTAATCCGGGGAAAAGTCCTGTAGATATAACAGTTTAGGTGTCATAGAATATGGACCTCCTGTGTACTGTGTTGGGCCTTTTACTCCCCTTTCCCAATAAACCTGTGACTACTCCCTTCACATTCTCACTATAGCTTCCTGCCCAGTTTGTCTACCTGTTTTGGTACAGTCCTTGTTCTTCCCTTATTACTAAGGGGTTTGGGGAGTAGAACACCCGCTGCATCTCATCTCTTTAGCAAGAAGGTGCCAGTTTGGATGGTAGTCAGAAATACGCAAAATTATTTACCTTGGCAATGAGAAGGGCAGTGCTACCCCCAACCCATGTCTTTCCTCAGTACCTCCTTTCTTCCATTTGTTCCTCCATTGTCATTCTATTTCAAATACTCATTGACTTGTTCTTAGTGTTTCATACCCTACCAAGTATCTCAATTCCCATCTTTCGCCAAACATATGCTGCTTTCTCTCTACAAACTCACATTTGTCAGTCCATTTCCTCCTATATAGGAAGTCTCCTGGGAGCTCCAAATCAATACTATGGGAAAAGTTTAAGTAAAGCTTCTGTGGAATTACAAAAAAGGACTGATTATTTCCCTGAGTTCTGAGGGGAGGGGAGATAATCAAGGAGAATATATGGAGGCCATGATACCTGGGCAGGGCTTTGAGGCTGCATAGGATTTCATCAGGCAGAGATAATTGTGAGCAAGGGCATGGTGGTACAGCCATGAAACTTTTTGGAGGAATAGGAAGGATTGTGGGGGCACAATCACTGTTTTTAAATATCTGGAGAGTTATGACAGTGACAGTTTAAACTTGTTCTACGTGACTCTAGAGCAGAAATAGGAATGATAGGTAGAAATTACAGGGAGCCAGATTTTTATTTTTTTTGTTACATTATAGGATATGAACTGCCTGCCTCCCTCCCTCCCCACCCCACACTAGAGAAGGTCACCATTTGACACAGATGAACAAATAAATACACATCTAAAATATATACATACATGTATATATGTCTATGTATGTGAAACCATAATATGCATACATCTCTTTATCAGTTCTTTCTCTGGAGGTAGATAGCATCTTCCTTCATAGGTCCTTTATGGTCAATTTGAGTATTTATAATACTCAGGATAACTTAGTTGTTCACAGTTATTCTTTGAATGATATTGCCGTTACTGTATACAACGTTTTCTTGGTTCTGTTCATTTCACTCTTAATTATTTCATGCAAGTTTTTCCATGTTTTTCTAAAATCAACCTGCTCATCATTTCTTACAGCACAGTAGTATTATATCACAGAAGTCAAAGTAGTAGATGATATCCAGGAAGTAGACTATATCAAAAGTTATAGAAGGGTCAAGGAGGATTAGGACTGAGAAGAGTTCATCTAATTTAGCACTTGAGATTATAGGTTATCTTTTGTGAAAGCAGTTTCTGTAGGGTGGTGGGATTTAGAAAGAAGACTACAAGAGATTGAAAAGTAGGTAGAGAAAATGGTTGGCAAGTGTATGCTATTTTCCTAGGGTTTGGGCAGTGAAAAGGATTTGAGATGTAGGATAGCAGCTTCAGGGGCTGGCAGGGTCATAGGAGAAAGTCTTTTTGAAAATGAGGTATGTTTGTAGGCAATAGGGAGCTACTAAAGAGAGAGAAGAAGGAATGATTCTTGGGACAGGCTCCCAAAAGAGATGGAAGGGGATGAGAACAAGGAGAGGGCTTGGCCTTATCATGCTCTCAGACTAGACCAAAAGAGAAGATGAGTGAAGAAGCAAGAAGGATTTTGAAGTGTGAATGTGGGAGATCAAGGAGCTCAAAGATGATATACTTGGTTTTTCTAAGTAAAGTAGGCAGATTTCATAATGAAAAAGGAAATTGATTTAAAAAAATAAAATAAAGATGGCAAGTATATCTGCTGAAATGAGGATTTGGAAACTTGAGGAAATTTGGAACAACTACTGTGAGGGGTTGTGATTGTCAGTCTGGGAAGAATAAAAGGATTCCTGTTAGCAGCAGGAGGCAGCTAGGTGGTACAGTACATCGACTTCTGGGCCTGGAGTCAGAAAGACTCATCTCCCTGAGTTCAAATCTGACCTCAGACACTTACTAGTTTTGTGACCCTGGGCAAGTCCTTAACCATATTTGCCTCAGTTTCCTCATCTGTAAAATGAGCTGAAAAAAGAAATGGCAAACCACTCTAATATCTGCCAAGAAAACCTCAGAAAGAGATCATGAAGAGTCATGCACAACTGAAAAATGACTAGACAACAGCAAAAATTAGCAGCAGGGACCCAGTTGAGACTAGATATCATAAAAGGGATTCATGCAGTGGATATAGCTTGAGACTATGTTTGTTCTGAGATTCCTTCTAGTTCTATAGTTCTATGAGAAGCTCAGTTTGGCAGGATTGTAGGAAAGCAGCTCATAGAGTCTTGATTCCCTAAGCAAAAGAGTTTAGAATTTATTCATTAGGTAGCTGTGAAACCATTGAAGTTTTTTTTTTTAAAGCAAGGGAGAAACAAAGTCAACACTTTAGCAAGATGGCTGAGTCAACTTGTGTAGGATAGATTGAAGGGAGAAGATACTAGAGGTAGGAAGACCAGTTAGGAGGTTGTTTATCAATCAGGGGAGAGGTTTTAGGCCCAGACTAGGCCTAAAATGACTGTATGAATGAAGAGTGTCTTCTGTTCCAGAGAACAGAATTACAGAATTTGAGAGCTGGAAGGGACCTTAGTGGCCCCTAATTCCAACTCCTATGTGAAAGAAATCCTTGCTGTAACATACCTGACAAGTGGTTGTCCTTCCTCCTCTTGAAGACCTTCAAGTAGGGGGGAATCCACCACCTCTTGAAGCAACCCATTCCAATTTTAAATAGCTGTAATTGTTAGGAATTTTTTTCTGACATCAAGCCTAAATTTGCCTCTCTGCAGTGTCTACCTGTTATTTCAGGTTCAGTCCTCTGGGGCCAAACAAAACAAACTTAATTCCCTCCTCCAGGTGGCAGTCTTCAAGCACCTGAAGACAGTTATCATATCTCCCCAGGTCCTTCCACTGACACTCATGAGACTCAAATCCCTTCACTATCCCAATGCCCTTCTTAAACCATTGTGCTGAGAACTGGACCCAGTTCTCCAGATGATGTCTTACAAGGCCAAGTACAGTGGGACTTGTTACCTTACTTTTCCTGGAAGCCATGGCCCTCTTAATGCAGCCCAGTATTGCATTAGCTTTTATGGTTGCCACATTACACTGCTAATTCATACTGAGCTTGAAGTCTAAAATCCCCAGATCTTTTTCAGAATAATCCATGCCTCCCTATCTGGTACTTTGAAAGCTGCTTTTTTGTACCCAGGTACAAAATCCCTGTTGAATTCTACCTTATTAGATTGAGGCTCCAGTGATCTATCATGGGATTTGGGATCTTAACCTGGGATTTGGGAATTTGTTTTGTTGTTTATATTTTGATAACTATCTTTCAATATAATTAATTTCTTTTGTAATTTTATATATTTTACTTTATTCATTTAAAACATTATTCTAAGAAGGGATCCCATAAGCTTTACCAGGCTGCCCAAGGAATCCATGACTCAAAAAAGATTAGGAACCCCAGCTCTAACCTGTCAAAGTCCTTTTGGATCCTGTCTTTGTCAGGCATTGTTAGCTCTTCCTCTCAGCTTTGTATCATTTGCAAATTTGATAAACATATCATCCATACTTTTATCCAAGTCATTGAGAAAAATATTAAGCAGCATAAAGCCAAGCAGAGATCCATGGGGTATTCCATGAGAGACCTGCTGTGCTGACATTGAAGCATTAACAATTACTCTTTGAATCTGGCCATCTGACCAGTTCTGATTCTTATATCAACAGCAGGAATATTAAGGGGAAAATGAATCACAATGAAGGTTTTTTTAAAATAACATTTTATTTTCTCCCAATTACATGTAGAAACAATTTTTAACATTCATTTTTAAAAATTTTGAATTCCAAATTGTCTGTCTCTCCTTCCCCTCCCTGAGACAGTAAGCAATTTGATATAGACTATACATGTGCAATCATGCAAAATGTTTCCATATTATTCGTGTTGTGAAACAAAACACATACCAAAAAAAAACAAACTTGAAAAAATAAAGTGAAAAAAAGTGTGCTTCGATCTGCATTCAGACTCCTTCAGTTCCTTCTCTGGAGGTGGATAGCATTTTTCATCATGAGCCCTTCAGGGTTGTCTTAGGTCAATAGCTAAGTCATTCACAGTTCTTCATTGAACAGTATTGATGTTGCTGTGTACAACATTCTCCTGGTTCTGCCCACTTCACTCTGCATCAGTTCACATAAGCATGATGGAGGTTTTGAGGAGGATGGTGCCACAAACAGATAATGCAGTTAGTGAAAGAAGCACGTTTTCAGAGGGAAGGGAAGATGGGATGGCCAGTGTGGATGTTCAGCAGACAGCTGAAGATGCAAGATTAGAGCTCAGAAGAAGAGGGAGCGCTGGAGGTATACATTTAAGGGATCATCTGCATAGATGTGATAACTTGAAGCCCTGAGAGTAAATGAGGTTGTCCTAAAAAGAAATGTATCAGGGGAAAGAGAACTTAGAACAAAGGTCAGGGAATGATCGTGTTTAGGGGCAACAGTAGGAAGAATAGGAGAGCTTTGAGATAGTGTTGAGAAAGCCAGAAAAGTTTGACTCTTTCCATTTTTCCTTCCAGGGCACCATCACAGAGCGGGTGGGGCTGCTTCTCTACGTGGCCAACCTGCTCACCATGCTCTGCTTCCCTGCAGCTGTGGTCTTTATGGTTAAATCTATTACACCAGGTACGTCCCTGCCCATACATTTCACTCTTTTATTTTCTGGGCCCTATACTCCACCCTCTAGGCCCTGGACTTTTGTCTCCTATCCAGGTGTCTACCTTTGTCCCTGGGTTCCTAAACTGGGACAGTCCTTCTGATAGGCTTCCTTGCCTCCCCAGAGTGGAGATTGACAGACATTATTGGAGGATGGAGTTGAAAGCCTTTCCTGAGCCTTGCTTGGTCCCTGTCATACTTCTTTTCCTCTGTCTAGAGTTGAAAAAAGGCTTCTTCCTAGTGGGGCAAGGACCAGATAAGCCAGGACTCTTTTCTTCTCTCTTCTAACAGTGGGTTCAGTGTTTGCTCTGGGTGTCTACACTGTTCTCTTCCTCAAGATGGTCTCCTACTACCATGTCAACCTGTGGTGCAGGCAGTACAGGGCCAAGAGCCAAGCAGGTGAGGAGTTTAGAGGTAGCAAGGTAGGGCCAGAGAAGCCCTGTCTCCCAGCCTTGCTGATGCTTTTGGGGTCAGGGTCCCCTACATTTCTCATAATGATCCTCATTGGGATTGCAGCCTCAGGAACCAAAAAGGCCAATGGGAATGTGGTGTCCAATGGGGTGAAGTACCCTGCCAATTTGACTTATCGAGGTAAGCAGGAAAGCCTGGGAGGAGGGGGGGGGGTTGGTTGGAGGACCTCTTTTCCCATCCCTTGAGCCTCTGAAGAATGATGGGGCAAAGCCAGGTTGGTGAGGCTATACTTTGGAGGTGGTGAGGGTCTAGTATTAGTGCCTATCTCCTTTTCTTCCCTTTACAGATCTGTACTACTTCCTGTTTGCCCCCACTCTGTGCTATGAGCTCAACTTCCCTCGATCCCCCCGGATCCGGAAACGCTTCCTGTTACGCAGGCTCTTTGAGATGGTAGGATCATTTGGTTTGATAAGGGCCCTTGAGGCCCAGAATTGTGCCATCCCCTTTTCTCATCCCTTTTGTCTGTCTCTTCCCTAGCTTTTCTTCACTCAGCTACTGGTGGGGCTCATCCAGCAGGTATGGGAAGGGAGATGGGGTTTGGGGAAGGGAGATGGGGTTGGTGCTGGAGGAGAACTCAAGCTGGTGGAGGGGTGCTCTCATAGGATCTCTTAGAGGCTGATGACTATAAAACCCCTCCGCTTCTTTCAGTGGATGGTCCCCACCATTCAGAACTCCATGAAGCCATTCAAGGTGAGGAACACTTTGGGGATATCTGGTATATGTGTAGGAGGAAAAACAAAAGTCTCTGTCTGGCTGAGAGTGGTGAGATTTAGTGGATGGGGAGGTGGGAATTTCTGCTTGTATTAGATGAGGGAGGGGACAAGAATTTCTGTTTAGGTGGTTCTGTGAGGGAGGTGGCAGTGAGGGATGTTATTCTCCCTGCCCCCCAATATGCTGAAGAGGTTGATCCCTATCTTCCCCAGGATATGGACTATTCCCGTATCATAGAGCGGCTTTTGAAGTTGGCAGTAAGTGTTATGTGATCTTAGGGGGTAGCAAGGGAGCAAGCAGGTCATGGAGTCTGACCTCAAAGAGCTCTTCTCACTGTAGCCCCTTCCTCCTCAGGTTCCCAACCACTTTATCTGGCTCATTTTTTTCTACTGGTTCTTCCACTCCTGCCTCAATGCTGTGGCTGAACTCATGCAGTTTGGTGACCGAGAGTTCTATAGAGACTGGTGGTAAGTGTTAGGAGTTTGGAGTTGGGGGCTGAGGGTTGCTTCTCAGGGAATGACACCTGACAGTGCTGTGCTTCCACAGGAACTCAGAGTCAGTCACTTACTTTTGGCAGAACTGGAATATTCCTGTCCACAAATGGTGCCTCAGGTGGGAATCAGGGGGTCAGGTTTGGGGAAGGTATTTTCTCTGGGCTCTATATACGGGAGGACAGGGTAATGGGCAAAACAGAAGATTTGTTTTGTCTTTTGGCTGAACCTCAGATCCAGGGAATAACTCTTGTCTTTCTCCTCCTTGTCAGACACTTCTACAAGCCAGTGATGAAGATGGGGGTCAATAAGTGGATGGCTAAAATTGGTGTGTTCCTGGCTTCAGCCTTCTTTCATGAGGTTCGTTTGCCCAGAAGAGACATAGAAAGGAATGGGGACACTCTGGGTCTCCAAACATGTTTCGTGACCAGGGTCCTGCTCCTTCAGCCTTGTGGGAAGGGACTTCAGAGCTGCCCTATAATCTGTTTTCTTACCTCCCTTCTACCTAGTACCTTGTGAGTGTCCCCCTCAGGATGTTCCGGCCTTGGGCCTTCACTGGCATGATGGCACAGGTGAGATACCCTAAAAATTTCCATCGTCTACTCCCATGGCCTCCTCATCAAATCCCTCCCTGCCTCTCAGGCTCTCTCTCAGCCCCTCCTTTGATCCCTCCTTTCATGCCCTGATCTATAGCACCCAGCCCTTGTGTTTTGGGGTCAAGGATGCAATTGACCTATTCCATGTGTCCCCAGATCCCTCTAGCCTGGGTCGTGGGCCGATTCCTTCAGGGGAACTATGGCAATGCAGCAGTGTGGTTGTCTTTGATCATCGGGCAGCCTGTGGCTGTGCTTATGTATGTCCATGACTACTACGTGCTCAACTATGAGGCCCAGCCGACCTCCTAAGCCCCAGACGTGGCCTTGTGTTGGGGAAACTCCAGGAACATTAAGGGACAGGGCAGGGTGATCCCTGCTCCGACAGCTGAATTGCAGCTATCTCCGTGGCACTTTATGAAAGACTTGTCCTTTGTCTGAGGGCTTTGATTCTACTGGTTCTGTCCTAATTGATTGGGAGTACAGAAGTTCTCTCATCCCTCTTGGGTTTGCCCCCTTGGAGTTCCTGTCTTCTCTTTCCCACCTTTAGTTCATCCCTAAGAAAGGGGAAAAGACCCATCCTGTTCCTGTAGGGGTTGTCACCATATCCACTGTCTCTTACCCTAGGGCATTTGTCCATGTCGGGGAGGGATAGAGCAGTCTTGGCCTTGTGGGTTTGGTTTCTCCTGGCTCCCTTCTCCTTTTGGTATGAGGATGTTGTCCTCCTGGGGTTTCTGTCCTCCCCCAACCCTCATGTCCCCACTGACCTCAGAATGTGTGGGCCTTGAATGGCTCTGTCCCCAGCCCAAGGAGGAGGGATTGGAGTTCTCTTCCCAGGACTGGTCTTGATAGTGACTTTTTAATGATTCTGTCCACGTGACCAAGTCTGTCATTAAAGCAATGTCCAAAGTGACCCCAGCTTCATTAAATTTTCGGTGGAGACAGAAAGGGAAAGGGAGGGGCTGGAGGCAAATGCATACGGGTATTGTGCAGAATGTAGTTGAAGGGGAACAGGACAGTGGGTTGGCAGAGGGCTGGATGTGTGATCTCACCTTCACCTGTGTGAGTGCTTGTGCTCAAGGTCCGTGGTGCTAATTTCCCCTCCAAGGGCCAGTTCTGCCTTCATTCCAGGCTAATGTAGATTAATTAGTGGGGAAAAAGCAGTGAGCACTGAAGAACTCACCTGGCTTCATCAAGAAAAGGTCATTCCCTTTTTTTGACTGGGCTACTGACTGATCAGGAAACTACTGTAAAGACAGTACATGTGACAGCCTCTTGTGCTATTTTTGTAGAAGATGGCAAGATGTGGGCTAAATGATTGTACATTTAGTCAGATTTGAAAGTGGTTGAATGGTCTTATTCAGAATAGTAATGAGTAGATGTCAATGAGAAAGGGGGAAAGAGAGAGAGAGAGAGGAGAGAGAGTGCTTTCTCTAGAGTTGCCCAGCCTTGCCTTAAACTTATCAGTGACCAGGATAAAAGCTTAGGTGGAATGCAGATCAGATTTACAGATGATAGGGAAGCTGAGAGAGCAAACACTTTGGATCACAGAATCTTAAAAAGATCGAGTAGAACAAGGTGTTCTAATGTGAAATTAAATTGACATAAAATGTCAAGTCATATATTTGGATTTAAACAACTGTATAAGTGACAAGACCAGTTCAACAATCCATGTGAAAAAAATCTGGGATTTATGAGAACATATGGAATGAGGTTTCTATAGAATTTGAGTGGGTCATGTAACATAACAAAAAGAGCTAATTCAATTTTAGCCTATACTAATACTAGCGTATTTTCAAGAACAAGGAAGGTGATGATTCCAGTGTTCTCTGCTCTAGTCAAACTACATCTGGGCTATGGTATTCCATTCTGGGCACTAAATTTTGGGAAGTGTGTGCACAGGAGAGTGACCAGAATGGAGAAGAGATTTTTTCAAAGATTGGTTCAAGTCACCAGGATTGGAGATGAGGAGATGTGATGACTGATTTCAGGGCTGGCATTCAGAAGAAGGAGCTCATTGTTCTGATTGGCTCCAGGGGGCAGAACTAAAACGGATGGATGGAAGTGTCACGAGGAAAATTTTCCCAATTGTTAAGAGCTGTCCCAAAATAGAATGGATGGCTTCTGAGATGTCTCAGGACTGTCACTCCTTAGTGGGTCTGATTATATAGGTGTGTTATATTCCCAAAATATGATCTATTAGCCTGACACAAAAATCACAGAATCTCAAAACTGGAAGGGACCTTAGAGGAACTTTAATCCACTTGGTACCTGAACTAGAATAGCGTGTATAAGCTTACTGACTTCTAGCCTCTATTTAGGGAAGGCGGGACCCATTACCTCCCAAGGTAGGTCATTCCACTGATTATTAGGAAGTTTTCCCTTACAGTGAGCTGAAATCACCCTCTGTACAACTTCAAGATGGGCAGTGTCACACCTACTGCATTTACCTGAGTATTTCTCCCATGCCAAAGCCCTGAGCCCTATAGGTAGTCTGATATGTCCCTGGGTTCTTCTACCTATCTTGGCCCCACCTAGAAAGTGACAGCAGAAAGTCTTTTATAAAATCCTCCCAGATAGAGCCATGGTTTTGTAATTCTTACTGAAAGTTGGAGGAAGAAAAGAGAGGGTGAGGTCCTCTGACTTGGCTGGCTCCCAGGGTTCCCTAATTTTAATCCTTGAGGAGGAGGGAATAAATGTCACCATTTTGCCTAGAGATGATAGAGCTGAACTGTATTTTCAGAGGAAGAAACTTCCCTAGTGAGCGGAAGGAGATTGCCTAAGGTTAGGGATGGAGCTAAGAATTAGAACTTCACTCTAGAGGGCCTGCAGAGACGATCATCCATTGGAGTTCCTAGGCAGTTTAATAAAAAAAATCTGGAGTCTCAGAACACTCTAGTCTCTGGAATCTTGGCAACATCCTGAGACGTAGGGATCTCTAGACAGTAGAGACCATATAAGGAAGGGGACTCACACTAGAGGTCCCAACAAGGTTCTTTCTAGAGAAGCTCAGAGATTTGGACATGTGCTGACTCTGGGTTCATTTTTGCTATCCTTGGGTATGTTTCATGCCCTGCCATTTGAGGCTGAGGCCAAGAACCTGGTGCCAGGCAGTTCAGTCCAGCGCTGGGGAAACTCCTGCTCCAAGGATTTATTGATCTAGATGCTGTGCCTTGCCAGAACTCCCTATCATCTCCCATGTTTCTTATCCTCTCAGTTCTCCAGAATGTAGAGTGGCATGCTGGGGCTTGTCATAGATCTATTCCCTTTGACTCTAGGGCAGAATTAGGAGTAGTTAGAGTGGGCAGGGGCAGGGAAGGAGATGCAAATTTAGGCTTTATGTAAGGAAAAACTTTCTAATTTGTTGTTTAGTCCAGGGCTCGCACTCTACCCACTGTACCACCTACCTGCCCAAATGTGGATAGACTGCCTTTAGAATGATAATAAATGGCATTTACATAGGGCCTTAACGTTTGCAAATTACACGTGTGATATTTTTATGTTTGGTTTGACTAGCTGATAACTGCTTCCTTTACAAATCAGGAAGACATCATTGGTTAAAATCCAGGCAGGAAGTACATTTTCTGGGGTAGCCACCAGGTGGCACTTTACTCGAACTGTTCTTTCCCTTGTCTTGGTTGTGCAAGATTCTCAAGCTCTATGTAGCCTGCAATATTCCGTATTGGAGCTGCTCTGCTGCTCGACCAGGCCATTCCACCTACTGACAGCCAACTACTTTTGCATCTGCCTATGTTGCAGCTTCTGGAGTTGACATCTCTAGAATTAATAAATTATTTATTGTTATAATTATCTTGAATCTGCTCCTGTACCTTGAGACAATGATTTTTAAATTTCTCACCCACATGATCTGGACACACAGCATAGTGATCATGAGTTTTCATAAATGTGAAATTAAAGGGAATATAAAAATACTACATTCCACTGAGATAGGTATTGCTCTTTGTTTCCCTACCTTCTACCCTTCTTCAGTTCTGAGAGGCTTGCCCCTCTAAAATTATCCTCTATCTATTCTGCAGGTATCTCTTTTTTCTTTTTCTTTTTTGAGGCAATATTGTTAAGTGACTGGCCCAGGGTCACACAGCTAGTGAGTGTTAGGTGTCTGAGGCCGGATTTGAAATCAGGTCCTCCTGACTCCAGGACCCATGCTTTATTCACTGCACCACCTAGCTGCCCCTTGGAGGTGTTTCATAGGTACCTATATGCATGTTGTCTCCCTCATTGGACTGGAAGCTCTTTTAGGGCCTGGACTGTTTATGGCCCAGAAATGCCCAAACTGATTGGCCTACCACCCCCTTTTAAAAAAAATTACTCAGTGCTCCCCTGGGGTTAGCTTAACCTTTATTTTTATTCAACACCTCCCTGGTGTACCTGAGGCTGCTACTGGGCCTCTTCCCCCACCCAATCCTTCCAGCGCCCCACCCACTTTGGGAACCTATGGAACTTTCTTTGTATTGCAAGCACTTGCACAGTGTGTGGCACTTGGTTAGTGCTTAATAAATGCTTTTTGAGTGACTCACCGGGAAGTAACTTAAACCTGACTCATTGAGAACTGGGCTAGGGACCTCAGTGACAAAGCAAGGTAGGGATTCTAGCATTCAGACTGGCTCACAAGTCTTATCACTAAATGAAATTCATCTCCACTATAGGTCTGCCTCACACTCTTGAGAGAACAGATTGTGTAATCTGACCCCTGAACCTGTGACCTGTGTCTTTCTCTGTGGTTTTCCTATACATTAACTATGGGTGTTACCCAAAGCTCAGTGTTAGGCCCTTTTCTCCTGCAGTGACATCAGCAACGACGGGTTTGGTTATTTAGTTATCTCTCTGCAGATGACTCGCAGATTTGCCTCTCTCTCCACCTAGCTTCAGTTCTGCATCACCAGTTGCCAATTAGAGATTTCAAACATGATTTCCCAGGGACATCTCAATCTCAGCATGTCCAAAACAACTCGTTATCTTTCCCCCTCCTCCAGACTTCCCTTTTTCTGTAGAAGGTACCACCATACTTTCAGTTTTCCAAGTTCATAACTCTTGCATTATCTTCAACTCCTCATACTCCCTTACATCACAGAGCCAATCAGTTGGCAAGTCTTGCCATCTCTACCTCAACCAGGTCACTTTCAACTAATCCCTTCTCTCTATATTAGCTACCACCTTAGTTCGGGTCCTCAGCACCTCTCATTTGGATTACTGGAATAGCCTTCTACTATCCCTATAATCAAATTGCTATACTCTGCTCCCTGCCAAAGTGATTTTTCTTATACTCAGAAATCTTGACCGTGTAGCTCCGTTGCTCAGTAAATTCCATTGGGTTCTTGTCTCTAGCTCAAAATATTTTTCATTTCACTGTTAAAGCTCTTTTCATCATGGCTCCAACCCATATTTGCAGCCTCATTCTACATTTTTTCCCCTCTTGCACTGTGATCCAGCCAAACTGACCTGTTTCTCACATAAAACACTGCATCTCACAGATCAATGCCTTTACGCTGGCTGTCCTCCATTCCTGAAATGCATTCCCTCCTCCTCTCTGCCTCAGTCCCTCTCTTTAAGATTCAGCCAAAGCACCATCTTCACATGAAGCTTTTCTGATTCCCCCTGGTTGCTAGTAAGTACCTTCTCTCCAACCTACCTTTTAATTAATATACATATATAAAATATATTTTTGCATCCTCTTTATATGCTGCATATATTTATACATGTATTTGGCTTTCCCATTAGGATATAAACTCCTTATAAGCAGGAATTGTTTAATTGTGCTTGCATCCCTAGTGTCTTAACACACAGCCTGCCACATAGTAGGTGTTTGAGTAATCCTTGCTGATTGATTTTTATTACATGACCTTGCCTTCTACTTTACCATAAAAATCTGCCTTACTCCATTCCTCCAAATCC